AGTAGGTCCTACGGAGAATAAGACTTGAGGAGCTCAGCAGCAGCAGCAGGTGCATGAGCCTGCCCCTCCAGCGCTCCCAGCATGGACCCTGCTCATGTGCTCTCTGCAGGTCCATCCTTCCACACAGGTGCCCTGGCTCCACGTGCTCCCCAGGCGGGATGGCAGTGCAGTTCCATTCCTTCCCATCCACTGAGGTGGGTTGTGCATTTGTGGGAGAGTGAGGTTGGGTCTGTGTGGAGGAATGTGATGTTATTGCTGTTATTACATTGGCATGTGATTGAAATGCTTGTGTTATGAATTGCCTGTCCTGTCGTTAACAAGCAGTACTGAAGATTGTTGAATTCTAGTTTAGGGAGGATTCTGAAGCCCAAAATTCCTGAAAACTAGAGTAATTAATTGGGGGAAAAATGGTGAGAAGGGGCCTGGGCACAACATGTGATTACTTCTAATTCTAAGACTTACGTGTTGTGCATGTATGATATATGCATGTACATATGTATGCATATGTGTATGTGTGTGCTCAAGTAGTCCCAGGGGCTACTTTCTTAATTCCCACTTGAATCGTGGGGCTGGGTCCCCAGAGGGCAGCTCCACTCCATCTTCCAGGGTTCTGGGTAACCCTCGGAAATTAGAGGATTTCTAGCCTCCATTAGATGTACTCCCCCACTGATCGTCAATTAGCTATGAAGAGTTGATTAACTTTTGGAAAGACAGCAATAGTAAGGGCATTTGTTAAAGAAACAGCCTCCAAACTTGGGGAACACTCTCTCCACACTAACAAGGTCCCTTGGGGAAGGAAAGCTCAAAGTAGACAGCTCACAAGATGGAAGTGTGAGCCCGCAGCCCCTGATTGCTGGAAATCCATTCCTCCCTGAGTGCTCAGGCAGTATCCCTTACCAGGCCTCAGGCCCCAGGCTCCCCTCCTCTGCTGAGCTCAGAGGGTCAGTGCCCTGCCAGAGTAATGCAGCTAGCTTTCCTAGAAGACATTCCTATTTGTTTTTCCAGCTTTCCCAGATGTTTCTCCTTGTCCTCCTTGTGCCTGTATACCCCTGATGAATATCCTGATGAATATGCTGACTTTGGTCACTGCTCCTGGTGGACACTAAGGGAACTCCAACCTTCCAAACTTTCTGGCTTCACCAGGTCATGGGGAGAGGATACTCCTTTAGGGCTCCCCCTCTATCCCTTCCCCCCTTGTTCCCCTCTTGCACAGGCACAAGGGCCTGCCTCCTCAAGATGCCCCCAGGCCTGGGAATTCCCAAAGCAGTTCTGGAATCTGCTGAGACTTCCAGCCAACCCCAGGACATTTCCTAGGTGACAACTCTGGTTTCATCCAATGACCCAAGTGCTGCACTGCTCCCGCATTGATTGGGGACATGTTCCTTCCTAATTTACACCTGCATTTCATTGATTCAGTTGAGAAGTCTGGGTCTTCCCTCTGTTTAATTGGGACGCATTCACACACACATAACCACAACCACATACACATGCAATTTTTTGCTTGTCATTTTTAAAAAACAGGCTTGTGATTTCATCTCTGTAGAGGCCTCTAGGTGACATCTTCCTCTACCAACGTATAGTGCCTTTCTCTACAACTACCAGTGTCAGAGCGGAACCTCAAGCGCTGAGGGGTTAATATTCTTGCCCAGGGTCACACAGGTTGGGTGTGCCAGAGGTGACAGGGTGTGTCAACACATATGTATACATGTAATATGCACACGTATATGTATGTATACATATGTGTATAAGCATATGTATAATCATTTTCCTGATCTTTATACCATATTGATCTAAAATGTATACTGCTTTGTTTTTACATACTAATTTAGGTGCATTGAGTTACAGGGCATCCATCTATATCTATACAATCTGCATTAAAAAGAAAAAAAAACTAGGCTGAGATAAAGACATAAAAACCTTTAATTAAAGTGCTAAGTTAAAAGTTAAGGAAGGGCCATGTTCTCCCCCCTCAATATGTGTTGCTAATTTTTTTTATAATTTATAATGAGAATTATGCATGCATTATCCCTAAATATTCAGTGTTGAGTGGAATGTTTTAATATATTAATCTGTCATTCATCAGAGAGCTAATTAGGATGCCAAGAGAAAGTGTAAAATTCTCACGTCACAGATGAATTTGTAGCTTCCACCTCGTTATGCCTGATGGCAAAGCGATTCAAACTAACAGAATCATTCAGACGTTAATCCTATTTCTATGAATTTTTGAAGGGTTTTTCAATGATTCCTGTTTCCCCAAATCCCTGAGCTCCCCTCCCCCCCTTTCCAGATCTCTCTTCTTTTTTCTTTCCATTGTTAGCAGAGGGCTTGATTTTCTCTTTTTGGGGGATGTAGCACATTCCCTTTCTTCCCAAGTATGTCTATGTGAGAAAACAAAAGGCACAGGGGGAAAGTTCATGTGACTGGGGAACATTGGCTGACCTCTCTTTTCTTCTCCCTATAAACAGAAAACAACCAAACAGAACAATTAAAGAGTCAGCTTGCTTTGGTCCCCCCAGATATGTGCCCCCTAGAGCATTTTTCCAAGAGATTGGGGTAAGGAGTGAGGGGAAAATCTCATGTCTGTCTCTCCCAGAGCCTAAAAAACCTCTCCTTTCCTGTGTTGTTTGCAAGAACAGACCCCAAAATCTGAAATAGTTTTAGAAGGAAATTTATTAGGTCATTTGGTAGAGGCAAGCAGGCCAGAAAGGAGGTGCGGCTCCACCCAGTGCAGGCTCAGAAAGGTTTGCATTGTATCAGATTTAGACAAGGGTGCCCTCCTGTGAAGAGTACACAGTGAAGTAATTTTGCCTAGAGGGTAGCCAGAAAGCAAAGTAGATTGAGACAGAAGTAAATGACTAAATTTAACCCAAAACAGAAGCTTGGGCTGGAGCCTGGAGGAGCTCCTGGGTGTGGTAGTCCAGTCCAAAATGAGAATGCTTTGGGTGGATTCTGGGTCTTGGGGAATGGGAAATACCTTGTAGCCATCTTTGGCATTCCTGGAGTTATTGGGTCAGGAGCCACCCTGGGTGTGAACAACCTTTAATCACATATCATTGGATATAAACAGCATAATAATTTTTCCTGAGCAGTCCAAGAAATCATTTTCCCATACCTGATTAGTGATTCTTTTTAGAAATGCCAAGGATGGTTCAGCTGTTCATGCAAGGGGCTGATGGTCCCTGTGTGGAATTGAATGCGGTGTCTTCCCTGTGTCAAATACTGAACAGGGCACCCTGCCTGTGCCTGACTCACATACCTATTGCACTCTACCATGCTTTCTATTTCTACTAGTGTGAGTGCTAGCCCTGGGGCCACCTGGCAAAACTAAGCTCTTCCCTCAGGTGCCAAAGGGGAACGCTAGAGGGACTGACTCACCCCTAAACATAGCTGCTAAGCAACAAAAGAATTGGCTTTACCTCCCTAAGGCCTGATGGGCAGGAAGCTTTCTCAGTCCTCCTAAGTACAAAACTTTGTAAGCCCCAACATTAGACATCCACTTACAGCAATCTGCCAGCCTGAGAGAACTGAGGAGACATCGAATGGGTCTCATGTGTTCTGACGTATCTCCGAATCAGGACAAAGGAGGTCTTAGGGGTTATGTCACAGGCTAGCATGTGGCCTGATTGTGTCCTTTATTTTAAAATCACAACTTTATGGATAGTTTGAGTTCCATCTGTGTGTGTGTGTGTGTGTGTGTGTGAGAGAGAGAGAGAGAGAGAGAGAGAGAGAGAGAGAGAGAGAGACAGACAGACAGATGGAGAGACAGAGAGACAGAGATGGGGGAGAGACAAAGAGAGAGACAGAGAGGGAGGGAAAAAGAATGAGATCGAGATAGACAGAGATGGGGGAGAGAGATAGGTGGAGAGACAGAGAGATAAAGAGGGAAGAACAGAGACAGAGAGACAGAGACAGACAAACACAGAGAGAGATAGAGACAGAGAGAAGGAGAGAGAGATGGAGATGAGAGAGAAAGACAGGCAGGAGAGAGAATGGGGAGAAATAGAGAGATAGAGACAGAGATAGAGATGGAGACACAGAGACATAGAGACAGAGAAGGGGAAGAGAGAAGCGAGGGAGAGACAGAGACATAGGGACAAACACACAGATACACACAGAGTTATGTTTTTCCTCAAATCAAAATGAACAGTTCTTTCTCTCTAGTCACTGCCAACAGGTATTCATTTGCTAAGTGCTCTGGGCTAATCACTGGGGCTACAAATTCAAACAAAAGGAAGGAGCCCCAGCCCCTCACAGAGCTTACTTCCAAGACCCCCACATAAAAGAAAGCTGGAAAGGAGTGAGTGGGTGGAGTGCAAAGTGCCCATCCTGGGGGTGATGGAAAAGTCCTGAGGAGCCCAGTGAGAGGGGAAGTGAAGGAGGCTCCCTCCTTCAATCAAGGTTCAAAGTGGACCCTCCAGTTGGAGGGAGGGCCCCTGGGGCAGAGGCCCTCTGCTCCCAAAAGGCCAGTTCTAGGCTGGAGTGATTGCCAAGAATGAAGAGGCTTCTGGGGCATCATGAAGTCTGGGTATGGTCTGATAAGAAATGAAGCTCAGCTGTGACCTCGAGAACAGGAATCATTTCTTGTTTGATGAAGGATTTCCCAACAAGTCTATCCCAGGACCTTGCACTTGATAAATGTTGGCTGAATTGAACTGAACAGATTCCATTGTGGAATCATAGTTCCTCCTCCTCCTCCTCCTCCTCTTCCTCTTCCCCTTTCTCCTCCTCCTCCCCCTCCCCTTTTTCCTCCTCCCCTCCCCTTTTTCCTCCTCTCCCTCCCCTTTTTCCTCCTCCTCCTCCTCCCCTTTTTCCTCCTTCTCCTCCTCTTCCTCCTCCTCCCCTTTTTCCTTCTCCTCCTCCCCCTTTTCCTCCTTCTCCATAAGCACTGATTCCCCTGTTCAGAAGGGACTGCAGGGCCACCTAGTCTGTGATAAGGAAGACCTTTAGTATTTTTGCCTCTAGTTTATTAAAGGGCTTCCCTAAAAGGGCTGTCACCCAAACTAAGCATGCTCCTTCAGCTTTAATAAATTTTGGAGAAAAATACTTTGACAGATGCAGGCTCCATTAGGAACCAATGCAGATATACCTTTTTGAAAGAAAAAAAAATAGCATCATTACAGTGATGGTGAGCGGAGAAAGAGGAAATCTTGTAAGACCAACAGCAAATTGGAGACTTCTTTCCTGGCCATCTCCAAGCCTTTTGCCTCACTCCACTGCACTCTCAGCCTCAGCTGACTCTCACCACAATTTGGATTATTGGGACCTTGATGAACTCAGCTTGCTTCACCTCCCTTCTTGCCAATTCTTGCTCTCCACTAGTCATTGTCTTCCTCCATTAAAATGTAAGCTCCTTGAAGGCAGAGACCATCTTGCTTATTTGTATTTGTATCCACAGAACTTAGTATTGTGCCATTCATTCAGGAAATTTTAAACTGGGAATCATTCAGCCCAGTTTATTCATTTTACAGATGGTAAAGCTGTACCTCAGGGGCAGATGAGATGGGATTGAAAGGAAAAGGGGTATCAGAAGAAAATGAAACTTCCTTCCTACTCATTGTCTCCAGTGGATTAAAGATGGATGATAATGCTTCTTCCATCCTCCCCCTACATTGATGCTGTCCTTTCATTTTCCTTTGAAAAAGGAAATGAGAAAAACGTGTTGGGAAGGATGATGGGAGAATTGTTTTTCATCCATGCAAAACTTCTGAATGACACACAGAAGTGTTGACATTTGAAGGAGATTTTGAGATGGGTGTCCTTCCCTGTGCTCACCTGTGCCAGAAGATGCCTTCCCTCCAGATGATCCCACTTTGCCTCGGATGTCCCCAGTGTTACCCTGTCATTTACTCCTACCAGAAAGCTCTTTATCCAGTTTCACAGATGATAGCTTCTAGTTTGTAAACCATTGGTTGTCAATTAAGAGAAATCATCCATAAATAACCATTTGCTTGTCTGATTAATCTCTATATAGCCTAATCCCTATTTGGTGAAGTGGTCTGCATCAAAGAACAGATGATTTAGTCCAGATCATATCCTTGCAGCACAGATAATCAATTTTTACTCTCTTTATATTCACCTGGAAAAAAGCAAGAAGGAAATTAAATGAAGGCTTCCACTCCATGCTCCATGTCTCAGATTAGGGACTACAGAATTGTACTGACTGGAATCCCAAATGCTTCACCTCTGCCATGGCTTAGCTTGAGTAGGTGCTGAAGTGTGCGTTTGATCATTTAACTTCTATCGAATCTGCAACAGCAGAGAACTACTGAAAACTCCTTCTGTGTTTGTCAGTGAGTGCTAGGAGAGAGAGAGAGAGAGAGAGAGAGAGAGAGAGAGAGAGAGAGAGAGAGAGAGAGAGAGAGAGTGCTTGCTGGAGAGAAATGTGGCTAAATGTGCTTTTAAGGGATTCTTTTGGTCAGTCCTCTGAAAGGAAGCAAGAAAGGAAGAAGAAAGGAGGGAAAGAGGAAGAAGAGAAGGAAAGAAGGGAAGAATAAAAGAAGAAAGGGGGAAAGGGAGGGAGGAAGGAAGAAAGGAAGAAAGGGAGAAAGGAAAGGAGGAAGGAAAGAAGAGGGGGAGAGAAAAGGCATGAAGAATGGAGAGAGAAGAAGGGAGAGGGAGGAAGGGAGGGAGAAAGGGATGAAAAAGAAAGGAAGAAAGGAAGGGAAAGAGGGAGGGGTATAAGCTATAATTTCCCCTAACAGTAATTTTCCCCTTTGTTGAAACCAGACCTTTGAGAACATCATCTTACTCACAGCATTATTTCTACTCACTTCAGAAAAACATCCTAAGAAATTTACCTTATCGTTAACAGGACGACCCAGTTCTTTGAGGAGAGACAGAAGTCTTCCTCCTCCGTGTCTCCCCCATAATGCTGAGCACAGGGGCTAGCTTATGGAAGACCCAGTGTGCATTTGTTGGATTGAGTACATGTAGGAGATGTAAAGCACCATTGGACAAAATGGCTTGGGAAATTCAATCTGGTGGCCAAAACCCCAACCCAGTCGACATTTACTAAGCACCTACCATGTGCCAGGGCCTGTATTAAGTGCTGGATGTATAATTAATAAAAAGACAGTCCCTGCCCTCATTGAACTTATGATCTAAAGGGAGAGACAACACCCAAAAGCAGGCAGGAAAGTGGGCTGGGTGGGAGTGGGAAAAGGGACGGCAAGGACTACCCAGCCCAGGGACATCTTGTTCTGTGGAGCTGCAACCAGCCGGGCAGCAGATGCAAAGTGGGATGCCCTGAGGCCTGCTTCTGCCCTCCATAAAGGAAGGAGTTGGAAGGAGTTTGGCACACTGCCTTCTAGCCCACCAATGAAAGGGGAGAGGAGGCTGAAACAGTCAAGCCAAGCCTTGAGTTTACAACACATGATGAGACCAGAAGTCATGATCTTGTCCTGGAAAGGGCGTCTTGTCTTGTGGAGTGGAAAGCAGCCAGGCAGCTGACGCAAGGTGGCTACACACACTGCCGGCTGAATCTGAGGCTTCCTTGAGGGTGAGAGACACTGGGCCCAGAGGGAGCGAGGCGAGTGTTCTTCTGCTCTGCCTCGGCCAGACCTCATCTACACCATGGGGTTCACACCTGGCAGCGCCACAGTTTGGGAGAGTCATGCACACGGAGAAGCAGTGTGGTCTAGCATGTGGACTGCAGGATTTAGAATCAGGGGCGTTGTTGTTCAGCTGTTTTTCAGGTTTGCCATTTCCTTCTCCAGCTCATTTTACAGATGAGTAAAGTGAGGCAAACAAGGTTAAGGGACTTGTCCAGGGTCACACAGTTATAGTCTAAGGTTGTATTTGAACTCAGGTCCTCCTGACTCTAGGCACAGCATTCTATTCACTGTGCCACCTAGAGGCCCAAGAATTAGAAGAGGCCTGTACTTAAATCCTGCCTCTGGGTACTTACTTGGTAATCACAGACAAGCTCTTTAACCTGTCTGTGCCTCCTTTCCCTCATCTGTCAAATGCACACAGTGGCCCTTGTATTTACCCAGGTGATAACTATAAGGGCATTGGATTCTCTGGACATCTGAAAGAGGAAAGAATACAAAATGATTGGAATAAATGATTGACATTACTGAAATAATGTAATCAAGTTAATAGCAATAATCCCTGATTTAATTGTCCACTTTTTCATTTCTAAATAAACTTTGTGAAAGCAATTGACATTCACAGATCTGATAGAGGATCCCCAAGGCTTTCCTGAAAGGTTTTCTAATGCAGATCCCATCTTCATCATCACAGATCTGACTGGAAGATATCAAGAATGCAAGATTCTACTGTGCTTATAAGAAAAGTCATTGAGCAAAATGTGTCCTTACAAGTTCTCTCCCATAAAGTGTCGCCCATGTGGTCACAAGCATAAAGATTCCTTGGAATGTAAAGCAGCAGCAGTAGCTTTGATGATCCTCTGATGATTGGTAACAGTGAGACAGACACTAGAAGTTGTGCCAGTGACATCAGGGCATGAATGGTAATTGATCTGCATTGAGTCCAAATGGAAGGGGGTTGGACAAGGTGACAGTAAGGTCCATCTAGCTCTAAATTTATGTTAATATAAAGTGTCAAATGAGAAAACTACTGAGGTGGGTTGAAGCTAATCAGAAAAGTATAGGGATGAGTGGAGAGTTGGCTAACACGAGGAGAAATGGCATGAGAAAAGTCACATAGAGACACCCCACACTGTAGATAGGAGATCACGAAGAAAATGGTCTGATGAGGGCTATGATGCTAAGTTCTGTGAGATCAGGTTTGTGGGCCTGGAATCCTCATCAGAAGAGATTAGATTTGACTCTGAAGGTCTGACCTCTCTATCCTGTGGTGCTGGGTGGTACCCCTGGATGAAGTCAGGAAAACTTGAGTTTGACTGCTGCTCAGATGTCCTGCCTATTGATTGTGATGTAAACATTTGAGAGAGTTTGTCCAGTATTGCTAGTGATTAGAGGCATTACCAAGGAGGTGTGAAAATGATTTAGGGGATGCAAGGAAGCCTGCGTCATCGGGGTAACGTGGCAGCTGCCCATCAAAAAGTAGATGTCAAGCATGGGGAAAGTGACAGTTCTGCCCTTTGCTATGGCCAGCCCACATCTGAGGCATTGTGCTCCATGGTGGGGGCCACATTCTAAGAAAGACATTTATGGGCCAGCACATTTCCAGAGGAGGGTGACTGGAAGTGTGAAGGCCTGGAGAACATGCTGTAAGTGGATGCATAAACTAGTGATGTTTAATCTAGAGAAGAGAAGGTTTGGGGGAGGTGGTGGGGGAGGTGTGAGATAGACTTTCACACACTGGAAGAGGACAAAGGCTTGGTCTAGGAGTAAAGAATTGAAGTTGCAGTAGTTTTGATGTAAGGAAATATGTCCCAACAATTACAGCTATCCAAAGGTGGAATGGTTTGATTTGAAAGGCTGGACACTCCCCCTCCCTGGATGTCTTTGAGGAGGTGCTAAATGACCATTTGCCAGGGATGCTGTAAAACGAATCCTTGGTAGGTATGATTCTAGTCAGTTCCTTCAATAGATTCTCAGATGACATGGTCTCCAGTCCTCTCATCATCGTGGAAGCCCAAGTTCTCTAGACAGAGCTACAAGTTTTTATTTTAAACATAATCTGCTCTTGATGGCAATTTCTCTCCCCTGGCAAAGAAGTCCAGGATTTGATCACCAGTGCCATTTCTGGGCTCTTTTGCACTACTCCTTATGGCAACCATTGTACATTGGTTCAATCTGTCCAAGAAGTAGAGATACACACTGTTTTAAGCTTTTTAATTCTCCATTTTCACAGATTAAATAAGTTGCTTAAAAGTCAGAGATGTTCTTAAAAGGTTCAAAGGTTGGAGATGTCATAATGATATAACAGTAACTTATCTTGGCCTTTCCCTTGAAACTGGTATGGATTTTGACCTTTACTATGACTATTTAATGATCTGCACACAGACAATTGATTCTGAAATTTCTCCCACAATAACCCATGAAGATATATTAAGTTTCTCTTTGTGGGGGGCAGGGACAGAGAAGAAAGTGGTGCTAAGCTTGTCTCCAACTCTTGACATTATTCGTGCTTTACAGGCACAAAGCTTCAGAGTTGATAGAGACTCTGACTTCTTTCATTTCTATACCTTGATCCACCTTTCCTGATTTAGATTGGGGGATTCTACCTTTGCTTTGAAGTCATTGCTCATCACAGGGAAATGGAGTGTCCTGCCAAGTTCATCTTAGAATTTCCCTTCTGAATATTCTCTGCAACGGACACTTAAGGTGGTCTGTTTTCTTATGTCCATCACAGGGCTGGAAGGATTTTGTGTTGTTGTTCCAACTAGTTTTTTTTTTAACTTTAAAAAAACCCCTTAAATACACAATAAGAAAAGAAAAAGAAACATATAAACTTAAATATTAAAACTTAAATACAAAATAAGAAAAAAAGCCACACGTACAGCAGAATATAAGAGAGGATTCAAAATATACAGCAATACATTTGCATTTCAAGAAAGCCTATGTGATAAATACTAGGCATTGTGCTCAGAGCTGTCCAGCTTCTCTGCGCTTCCTTGTAAATTTTCTTTTGTTCTCTGCTGTGCGTTTTTGCTTTGTTCTTTTTTCCCCCCTCTCCCAAGAGGACTACAGTTAAGCCTGGACATGTGTGCGTGTGTGTGCACATGTGTATACATACACATACATACACATAAAACATATACATACCTATACATATACAAAAATACAAATATGCACACAGATATATATATATGCATATATACACATACATATATTTGCATACATATACATAGACTTAGATATATAGAATGGATGCACATGCATATTTGTAAGATCATACTATACATAGTTGCCCTCTGTTTCTCTGAGGGTAGATAACCTCTTCCTTTTTAAGTCTGAGTCTTTCCATATTTTTCTGAGTCCACCAACTCATCATTTCCTAAACCACAACAGTATTCCAACCTTATACTGTCTAGTTATTTTAAATAGTTTAAAACAATATTGATTAATACGGCTGACATATAGTATAGTTTCCCTGTCTTTCTTTTTTGAGTAAATCTTTTTTAGCTTTAACTTTGTCTCAGCTCATGATTATTACCCTTGCTTTTTCCCCCCTAATAAATCCTACCCTGATCTTTATTTTATGTTTGCATATATCTCTTGTTTCCTAGCGCTCCTGAGTCCTCAACTTTACTTCTACCTGCTACCTCGCCCTCCTTAACCTACCCTCCTCCAGTGACTCCTCCCTTATTCTCCCATTCCCATTAATCTGAACACCTTTCTATACTCCCCCATCCTATTCCCTCACCCGCTTCTCTAAAAATCACTCCCTTGTCCTCTCCCCCTCTCTATCCCCTTAGCCTTTTATTTCTTTCTGAATTTAGAAGACTTTCCTACCCTTCTAGATATATATGTATTATCCCCTCTTAAACCCATTTCCAATGAAAGCAGGGTTCCAGAACTACCAGCCCTCCTCCCCCATCTAATTCTTCTGCATCAGTTCTTCCTCTCATACCCCATGAGTATGAGATAATTACTCCTTTCATCTTTTCCTAAATGGTTTTACTTTTCAGAATTACATCACACTCAAGTCTGCCCCAGTCTTTCGTTTGAACTACCCTATTACTAACAATAACCTCAGACAAGGTTTTACATTTCCTCATATAAAAAGTAAGCAATCTGTCCTTACTGAGCCCCTTGTGATAGTCTTTGATGTGCACCTTATAGTTATGTGGGATCTTGTATGTCAAATTTCCTGTTAAGTTCAGGTTTTTCTTTTGCAACAAAATACTGAAAGTCTGTCAATTCACTGAATCTCCATTTCTTTTCATTCAGTATTATGCTTAACTTTGCTGGGTATGATGTTTTCAGCTGCAATCCCAGTTCTGTTGCTCTTTAATTTATAGTGTTCCAAGACCTGTGGTCTTTTAGGGTCACCACTGCTAGGTCTTGTGTGATTCTAACTGTGACTCTGCCATAGTTAATTTTTTTTTTTTTTGCTTGCTTGTAATATTTTCTCCTGAGCTGGGTGTTTTGGAATTTGACTATGATATTCCTGTAGGTTTTCCATATAGGATCTCTTTCAGGTGGTGATCAGTGGATTTTTTTTTCCTGTTTCTACTTTCCCCTCTTGTTCTAATGCTTCAGGACAATTTTCTTTAATTATTTCTTGTATTATTATACCAAGATTCTTTTTTTTTTATCATAGCTTTCAGGTAGTCTGATTATTCTTAGGTTTCCTCTTCTTGATCTTTCTCCAGATCAGTTGGTTTTCTTATGAGATGTTTCACATTTCTTCTATTTTTTCAATCTTCATGTTTTGTTTTATTATTTCATGGTCTCTTATAACTTTGCTGCCTTCCTCTTGCCCAATTCTAATTTTCAAGGAGTCATTTTCTTCCTTAAGATTCCAGATCTTCTTTTCTAATTGGTTGACTTTCTTTCCATAATCTTCTTGTTTTTCTTGTATTGCTCTTATTTTTTTCTTTAAATTGTTCCTTAGTTTCTTTCATTTGATTTTTAAAGTCTTTTTAAAGTTTTTCTATGGATTCTTTTTGGGCAGGAGACCACTTGACAATTCTCTTTGGGGTAGGAGAGGCTTTTTTGCTTCAGTTTCCTCCTCTGAAGATGAATCCTGGTCTTCTGTATTCCCATAGTAATGTTTTTCTCCTTCGCCTGTTCATTTGTTTTTTAAATTTATAGTGACTCGTAATCACTTCTATTCCTGGGTATGGGGGATGGTGCCTCTGGCCTCAGATCCTCCTTCAGTTTTCCCCTTTGGCCTGGAACTGAAACCAAGAACTCTACCCTCCACCAAGTGCCCACAGCCATGGCATCCCCACCCCACTGCTTCTGCACTCACTGGGCATATTCTTGTTCCTTCTCACCTAAGACCATATTTTGGCAGAACAGCTGGGTCTGGCATCCCTTATCAGCAGAGGTTTCCTCAATATCCCCTGGCTCAGACACCCCATTCCTCACACTGTCTGGGAGATGAAGGTCCCTGTGGCTGAGGCCTGAGGCTACCTCCCACCCCAGCTAGCCCCAGGGCTCACTGCTTGATGGTTCAGCAAAACTAGCCTGGAGGTGTTTACACTTCACAGGTACCGAACTTCAGTCTTTCTCCAGTTGTCCCAGAAGGACCACTGTTCTGCCCCAACTCTTATTTATTTTTACAGCTCTGCATTCTCCCTGAGGAGCTATTTTGTCTTATTTTGGGGGAAATCTGGAGAGATTGGAATTTTCTGTCTTACTCTTCCATCTTCCCAGAATCCTCTCCAAAAGGATTTTGTTCTTTTTGACTTTGGGTGACTCCTGCTCCTCTGTTCAACTTTCTGAGAATCCATGGCCCACCCTTCCCTTCACCTGCAATTTTAAAATGTCTTCTAATGTCAATGAGGATGTGAGTCAGTATGCTAACAAGCTCCTTGCCAGGTAGGCCACCAGGCAGGTGTATTTTTGGCCATAGGGACCCATAAAATCCATACAAATACATGACGGCCTTTGGTCCTGGTCAACTCTCTTCTACTTTGAAAGGGAGGTCACCAGTTCTAGGAAAGGGGAAGAGAATATGTACACTCTCTGAGAAATATTACACAGGCATTTTATTGCTGGCAATCTAAGTATGTGATCTGTACCCAATAGCTACTAGGCCAGGGGGTCTTAATCTTTTTTTTTTTTATATCTTAGACCTCTTTGTTGGGCTGGTGAATCTTATGGACCCCTTCTCAGAAAGAAGTTTTTAAATGCATAAAATAGAGTATACAAGACTATAAAGGGAACCAATCATATTGAAATACAATTTTAAAAATAAAACCAAAACAAGTTCATGCACTCCAGGTTAAGAAGTCCTATATCTAAAGACACTCTCTAGATAACAACAACAGAATGGATTGTAATGATAAAGATAATGTCTTCCCCTTGGACTGCCTCCATGCACAGCCCAGGTGTGCAGGTATCCCTTCTCGTATTTCCATATTACCCATTCACTCCCCATCCCTTCACACCTTGCCCAGTACCCCCACTGCTTCAGGGAAATGGACTATAGCATAGGTTCTTAACTTTTCCTGTATTGTGAACTATGCTAGTAGTCTGGTGAAGCGTATGAACAACTACTATTACTACCACTACTAGTACTGCCAGTAATACTACTATTGTTACTACTACTACTACATAGCAAATGCCAGGCGCTTTATAAATATTTTCTCATTTTATTCACACAACTTCACAGGAAGTAGATACTATCATAATCCCCATTTTATAGTTGAAGAAACTGAGGCAGACAGAAGTTAAGTTACTTACCCAAGGTCACACAGCTAAGCAAGTGTCTGAGGCTAGATTTGAACTCAGATCTTCCTGGTTTGAGGCCCATTGCTCTCTCTACTATACTACCTAGTTGCTACCAGAGCACTGAACCCGGAGTCAGAAAGATCTGAGTTCAAATTCAGCCTCAGATACTTAGTAGCTGTGTGACCTTGGGCAAGTCACTTAACCTCTGTCTGCCTCAGTCTCCTAATCTGTAAAATGGGAATGATAACAGCACTTTCCTCCTGGGGTTGTTGTGAGGATCAAATAAGATAATAATTGTGAAGTGCTTGGCACAGGGCTTGGCACACGGTAGGCACTTGATAAATGCTTGTTCTCCTTCCCATCTCACAATAATGGTTTTAAATATATAACATAAAACACATAGGATTACAAAGAAAACCAATCATAGTGAAAATGAAGACGTGATTTTGGTTCCCATTGATGTTCATACACTTCCTGAAATTTACACAGACCTTGGAGGGCCTGGGAACCCTGAGTTAAGAACCCCTGTAGAAGAACCAAATCCTATCCAATGTTCTAGATCATGGCCACACTGAACATCCTATTAGATCTTCGCTTTTCAAAGGCAGTTTAGCTCCCCCAGACCATAGCCTGGCTGGTCCAGTATTAGCAGGCTTAGTCTGTCACTAGGCCAAACCATCTTACACAGATCAGATTCATTCAGAAACAAACGGGAGATGTTAGGTGACCAAGGTGGATATAAATGGATTTTTAAACAATTAGTATCTAATATTATTTTCAATCTGACCACGACTGGGAACATCGATCCGTGGGAAATCATTGTCTGTTTTGTATAATGGGAGTTGTCATGATTTTTTACTGCGTGTGAAACATGGCAGGAGAAACCAGAAGCTTAGAACTCACTTGTCAGAGAAGATGGATCAGGGTGAACTCCCTTGAGGTGGCCTGATGGGGAAGACAAATAAGGCTGCCCCAGATCATCCCCTCAGAGGGAAGGATGCTGGGACCTACAGGAAAAGTCAGCCTCAGTGAGCAGCAATGCCAGGGACTCCCTGGGAGGGCTGTGAAGATGAGCCGCTTCCAGGGCCACGAGGCAGCGGGCCACGAAATGGAATCCAACAGCAAGGCCGTTGCTGAGTCTGCACGCCGAACTGCATCGCTCACGGTCAGAGCCGGCGAGGCCCAGACCCCCCGCGAAGCAGCCTGGCACAGCCTCAGCTTGCTCTCCTTCCCTCCCTCCTTTGATTAAAGAAAGGAATCACACACCTGTCTCCCGGCCCCTTTCTGCCATCCTTCTCCTGGCCCTGCAGGCTCCCTGGAGTCAGTTTGCTGAAAAGCATCCTCTGTTCCTATCTGGTTCAGTCCCGTGTAATTTAGCGCGATTGAGTCCAGTTTAATTCAGTAGAACAAAATGTTGGTGAAGAGCCTACTCTGCGCCAGGCCCTGAGGATGGAACGACATTACGAACACCAATTCCCACTCTCGAGGAGCTTGCTTGTTATGGAGAAGACTCAACATTTGCAGAGATCAGTAAATATGAGGGAGAGAGTGCTCACTGCTAAGGTAATCTGGGAAGGCTGACTGTAGGGGGCGGCGCCTTGGGGAAACCAAAGGATGACTAGGTTTACCCATTCTGATTTCCTCGGGGAGATAGGCAGTGAACCGCTGAAAGGAACGAAAAGGCTCAGAGATTTGGAGGCACCAACCTCCTTAAAGGTCATCTAGCCTGACCCTCTTATTTTACAGAGGAGGAAACTGAGACCCCAAAAGCTGGAATGCTTTGTGAAAGCTTGCCGAGGAAGGTGGCGGCGAGCAGAATGGGGACCGGAACGTGGGTCCTCTGCTTGGGCAAGAGGCTGAAGCACTTCCCGCAGCTCCTCGCGAAGGCGAGCCAGGCGTGCGCTCTCTCCCAAACCCGGATGCCGGCTGTGTTCGGCTTTCCCCGGCTCCCGTTTCACATGGAGTCCCCTCTCGTGGATGTCCCTTTCCCGGCGCTTACTTCGTATCTCCCTCACGTGGATTCTGGGCCTTCTTAGATGCTTCCGTTGCTTTCTCAGATAAAAGGTAAGCGACTTGAGCGCGGGGGTCGTTTCGTCTCTGACTTTGTGTCCACAGCACAGCATTTATCACGCACTCAGTGTGTGCCAAGGACTGCGATCAGTGCTTGGCACAGTGTTTGGTACAACATGGTCACTTAGCAAAGGCTTGTTGATTGCCTGGCTGATTTCCGCAGCTATCAGACTGCTTGGCTGAACGGGGCAGCGGTCTTCAGACTAGAATCAGTGTGAAAGGATTTTAAAAAGGGAGGCTGTATGTTTTCTCCCAAGTGAATTTGACAGGCTTTTCACTTCCCTCGAAACCTGTTTTTGTGACTTTTAGGGAAAAAACAACTGGACATTCTTATCCCAATTCCTTCCTCCGGACTCCAACCAGCCTCTGGAGATATGTTCAGACCAAGCCATTCCAGAGGTGGGATAAGTACTGTCCTCTTGTTCATCCGAAGGGGCCTCCTTTCCCGTGCTTGGGTCCCTCCAGACTCGGCCCAGTTGGCCAAGCCAGGAGAGGAGCCAGGTCTGGTCACAAGGCGTTATTGCCATGTTCAGGTGCAGAAGGACAGTGAAGCCTCGTGGGGCCCACCTGAGCCCCAGCAGTTCACAGGCATCTTTAGCAATGAAAAGCATTCAGAATGGGGACTGAAAGGCTCAGCAAGGCGGGAACTCCCCAAATCCTGTCCTGCTTCATCCCAGAATGACCCTGAGAACTCAAGAAGTCCTGCCCCCTGGCCTTGGGTTTTGGGGGGCTTTTCTCATAAGTAGAATTTTCTCACTGTAGTTGGCCACCATCATTTTGGATTCAATAAGCCAATTCCAATGGACAGTTTGTTCCAAGTGGGCTATTAACCAGCTTTCTCTGAGACAAATTTCAGCTGCTGTTCAACTAGGTTGGATGCAGTTCTTTGACTGTGAGGTGAAAGGCCAGGATTCAGTTATCAGTCATTTGAGTTCCTTTGGTGCCTTGGTTTTTCCCAAAGGAGGTGGGGTGGGGGGTGGGGTGAGGGGGAGAAATGTGAGAAATGATCCTGGCACACACTTACACTGTGTAAGCACAATGCCATATTGGAGGAAATATGGGATGCACACAAGCCGCTACTTTTTGGAGTAACATATGGAATTGTGTGAGAAAAAATATGCCGCAGACCAATTTCTGCTAATTTCTTGGAACCATTACTGAAGAAAGTCACTGCGCAGTCCTAGGTACCTCTAGTGTGTGATTGTCAAAAGATGGTGGTGTGAGGGCTGGACCCACTCCAAGGAAAGCAGCAGAGATCCTCAGGTCTGGCTCTATCTTGTCATTGCAGAAATGGCTTTAACACAGACTTTCAGCCCACGCAGGAAATGACTTCCTTTACCCTCACACATTGATATTTATGTTCTTCATTTTAAAGACACAGAACTGCAGTGGATCTTGGGTCTCTTTTATTACTGTAGCCATTCTCTGTATCAGCAGGATGGCAACCCGACCATGCCCCTCATCCTGTGGGATTCTCCCTAGCACTAGAGGCCTCCGTCTTTATTTACCCATGGGGCAGCTTAGAAGGTCTAATTGAGAGTCCAGTGCTAAAATCTAGATGTTTTAGCAGCTGGGAGCACCAGGAAGCATCTTGAATGACTCCTTTTGGGTTGGGGGTGGGGGATGATTCCAGTAGGTTCTCAAAGTAGAATAAGAAAGAAATAGGTAAAGAGTAGGCTCTGATTTAACCAGAATTAAAATGAGCGCCAGAAATCTGGAAGAGATGAGTAACGGTGCACTTGCTGGAAGATCGCCAAGTTTGGCCTTAGGGACCCTGGGTTTGAAGATCTAGTTAAGCTTCTTACTATTTGTGTGACCATGGTCAGGTCCCATCACCGCTGGTGGCCACAGTGTCCATCTTGTAAAAGAAGGGAGTTGTATTGGATGGTTTATGTCTAAGACCCCTTTCTCGAAATATGGGGTCTTATTAATGGAGCCTTACACCCTCGAGGAGATCACTGAGGCTGTCCTTACAGCCTTACAGTGGTTAGACAACCACTCTGCCTGTGGCCCTAGCCAGCTCGCCATCTACATGGTACAGTCCAGAGACGCCTGGAATGGCCAGCTCTCCAGCTGTCTTCTCGTGTAGAAAGACCCCCTTCATCAATTTGACAGTTATGGAGAACACAGCTCTTCAGGGCACTTCCTTGTAACGTGGCGTGTGAGGTGAGCCTTTAAGTTACTGTGTCAGTCTGGCACAGAGAGGGGGGCACAGCAGGAGAGGTGGCAGGTGGCACCTGGCTGAAAGACTCCTGCGGAGTGCATAGAGCTGGAGCTGCAGAAGCTAACCGGATTGATAGAGGCAGGCTTCCTTCCTGTGTATTTGGGGGAGCAGCACTGCTGCACTCTTGTCTCTCAGACCAGATTCCTCTCTAGCAGAAGACATGTAAGGAGTGAGAGCAGGCAGAGGTCAGGGAGGGGCATATTCCAGAAGCAGGACAGCAGCAGCCCCCATGTTGCTGAGGGCCCGGGTCCCTCTCTCCTATTGAGTGGGGAGTGTCTCTGCTGGCCCAAGGCTGAGAGGCCACCACCTAGCAGTCACCAGAACTGGAGAGTAAGCGATGGGGAGGCTGTGTGTCAGATCACGCCAAGAGCTGCCAGCTTGGATGCTGCCCACTCGCCCTGGAAGAGGGAAGGAGTACTCCAGGCAGGCGCCAGGTACAGAGCGTGAGGGGACTTTGAGCAGCCAGGAGCAGAGCTGGACGGTGTTCATTCAGTGAACGCTTACTGTGCACTCACAATTGCAGGGTACTAACCCAGGCTGGTTGGGAGGCCAGCCTCAGTATTCCAGTGTGCTCGTGTGCCAGCAGATCTGGGATCTCCTAGATACGGACGTTTCCTCCAACAATGCAGATTTCAAACTGGGCATGCCTGACAATCCTGTGCTCTCATCTTCACTGCAACATACCCAGCCCAGGGGGTCCCTGCTTTATGCTGTGGGCCTTCCCCACGTTCTCTTGACACTGTGCGGGAAGCACTGAGCCACACGGGCTGTCTGCCCTTGTTCCTATCGTGTGACTTGCCTGTCTTCTTTCTTTTGAATCATGGAAGTCTCTGATGATATCCAGGAACATAGAGATGAATTCTAAGTAATTAAAAAAAAATTAAACATGTAGCAAAAGGCAGAAGTAGGCTAGAAGTGAGAGAAACCTCCAGGAGCCCCTTCCTCAGGAAAGTTTCAGGGGTTCCATGAGGAAGAGAGGTGTTTGCAAAGGAAGTGACAGAGAACATTGGGTCAGTGACTTGTTTGAAAAGTTTTGCAGAGGCGGTGTGGAGAGAGAGCTGCTTTCAGAGTCAAGGAGCGCTGGGTGCCAGTCTCACCTCTGACACTCTGGCTCCTGTCTAAGGTGACCAGGTCCCAGGAGCTGATTGGATTGTTCAGGGTGAAATCGCGCCTCTGGTTCCCACAGAACAGATCCTGTTCGGTGCCATTCGGCAGCTGTGGCCTGATTAGATGTTTTCATGTAATGGGACCCTTGGAGGAGAGGATCTGGAGAGGAGACGCTTTGTGGGAGATTGACACGGAAAGGTGAATGTCAGAGGGCTGCTCACCTTTGGGTGTGCTGTCGTTGGCAGGACTGGGCGGCTGTGTCCATCCCTGATGGCTCTGTGCTCTGCGGATCCTATTGTTCTTATTGTCTTATCCAGCCAGGAACTGACTGCTAGGCCTCTTCCTGCCATCTCCCCACCATGCCCCCTTAGGATGGAAGCTTCTGAAGGGTAGGGACTGGCCTTTTTGCTGGGGTTTGTATCCACAGTGCCTGGCACGTAGTAAACACTCTTCCTTCCCCTTCCTCTCTCTGCTTTCTCCCTTCCACTTTCCTTTCTTTCTCAGGGTTCAAAGTGTTCATTCCTCCACAGGCCTCTATTTAGCTCTTGGTTAGCAGGTTAGTATGCCCCCAAGCCCTTTTCTCAAGTGCTAATATTTGTCAAGAATTCCTTCCTGCAGTGGGTCATGTGCTTGTCTGCATGCTGTAGGATGGTGGTCTTGGTTGCTCTAAGTAAGGTGCCATCACTGTCCCCAGTGTCAGCCGTAGAATGGGCTTCTGTTTCATTTCAATACACGGCAGAGAATGTGAAGAGCAGAGGGCAGTCTTCTGTTAGGATGGTTCTTTTTTAAGCTCATAAAATCATCTAGTCTGGAACACACACACAAAAGCAACAATAAAAATAGATACTAAGTCTTTCCTTAAACCATTGTGGGGAAAAAATCCTCCTGAAACTGGCCAGCATTGTGAGTGACGCAGTGAGAGTTCTCAGAAGGACGGCTCA